TCTTCACCTTGAATCATACTGAAACAACGCGGACATCAAATAGCGGAGCAGATTACCTCTTGGGGCTGTCTTAGGAGATTGCCTTAGTGCTGTCTCGAGCTATGCAACAAAACTAAAAGGGAAAAAAAAAAAGAAGAAAAACTGTAGAGAAAGACATTGACGACAAAGGTGCGATACATGAACTCATCGCTCGAAGCACTCCGAGAAATATTGACCCCTGGGGTATTCTTAGTGCAGCGTCACTGGGGGATGTTGGATTTTCCTCCAGACGCGGGGAGGGAGCCTGCCTGTTATCTCCTGCGAGGTTTCTTTACGAGTGTCGAGGGCCTCAGACACAGGTATTTAGCGGTGGGCGAGACCCGCTCAGGGGTCATCAAGGGGAACACGAACGAGATCCTGCGCCGGCGATGATTGCCACGTCGCCATTCCTGAAGCCACTCATTAAAGGGGGAGAGACGGTTGGGAGTGCCCGAGTCTCCAGAACCGCCGCGGAGTTTAGAGATAGACGTTATACTGCTACATATATCTATCTATATATATATATATATATATATATATATATATATATATATATATATATATATATATATATTTGTTTTATGGCGGGCGCGATTGCTTTGTTATTAGACAATCTAGCCATCGTTGACACGTCGTGAAGCCGCACCCGATTTGTAGAACGTACGGGACTCCGCTTTCGTGCGAGTTAGGTCTTTCTTTTGCTTTTTCTTATACTTAAATCGTCCCTAGAGCCACATTATACAAAATTGAGAAAAAAATAATGAGGAAAGAACTTTACGAGCAAGGGTTGCACGTATTTAAGAACACTTCATTTGTGTCAGTATAATGATAGTTATGTGACTGCGACGAAGACAAGCCGCTTTAACAGTATCGACGCGTGTCGTTTTGCTCGTGATAATCTGTAAGAAATTTGTGAATTTGTTTAATAATTATTACAATTTTTTTCTTTTAGAAATAACTGACTGCTTCAGTTTCTGGTTGTGTTAGACCAAAAAATGAAACTAGAGAGTCAAACTTGCTTTGTCCTTGCTGAACGTAACCTATCATCCCTGTAGCTGTAATTGATAAGCTTAATAAAGTTTCAAGCCATTGTTTTTTATTATTTTGAACTTGGCAGCGAGTAACTGAATTAGTTCGTAGTGTTTCATATTTCTTACAAAATGATAATGAAAGAAGCTAAAATCCTGACGTGATATTCAGACAAATACGAGGTAAACTTCTAAGACATTATTGATTTTATAAGTGCCGTGGCTTGCTTGCAGTTGCGTAGTGTAGCCGTTCGTACTGCAGTAAAAAACGAAACAAAAAAGCACCAAAGGTATTTTAAAGTTATCCAATGAAAGAATTATGAGGCAGTCGTCTGATAATTTTTTGTTTGTCTCGTGAGGTCGTTTCACGTCTTCAAGTTTTACGACTACACGGCATATCAAATAAGAAAAATACTCTTTACCCTTTTCGCATGTTTCGCATATATGTTAAGGTTTGTACCTTTAATTCAGTTGCGGCAATGCGACTGATAATTCTTTGGCGCAACAACTTTTACACACACACACACACACACACACACACACACACACGCACACACGCATAAAAAGAGCCCGACAAACGCTGCTTGCGAAGTTATATTTATCGGCTTTGTGACCGAATACGTTTCTCTTAAGCCATGTCGGAGTCATTGGCTAACAAACATCATTCCCCTTCCCCTCCCGATTCTGTTTCAGTCGTCACGATCTCGTGCGCTCCCATTCCGCATTCAACTACGCAACAGCCGACTGCTCGAAGTCGTATACGACGGGCAGAAAGAGCAAGTGCACACACGGCACCGAACTACTTTAGTTTCACGCCGAAAAACAAACAACCACCGAAACCATACAGCGGTGCACTGCTTGACGAGAGTCCCCTCCCGCGATCCCTCATGTGGCGTGGGAGGCAGGCAGCTCACAACGTCGCCTTCTCCTCCCGCGGCTCACGTGGCGCCCTTCTCCTTCTGGGTGCCGGGCGAGACCGTTGTGAGATATAGAGCCGCCAGCTGGGCACCCTCTGATATTCCCTGCCCGAGCAAAAGATAAACGACACTGGTTCTCCCCCCCAAGTTGGTCCCCCTGGCTCCGCCGCCACCGCCTGCATTGCTGCATGGCTGTCCCCGGGGAACTGTTTTTCCCTCGGCCGTCGCTGCTTTTCTTGCTGAGCGAGTGCTCGGCGTGTTCGCCCGTCGTTGGGCCCAACACGCCGGTGGTACCGAGACCCACTCTCGCGCGTGGTTGCCAGGGTGGGAAGGAAGGCTTTCAATAAATGTTGCGCGTTTTTCTTTTTTTTCGGACCAGAGTATGTTTGGGCAATCGGCAGTTGAGGTAACTAGCCTTGCCGAGTTAGGGCCTCGGTAGATAATGAGATTGTGGACATAATTGGGTCAATGGTACCCATCGTTTTAATCCGAGCTTGTGATGGTTTCGGTTTATCAATATACGAATTTTAAGCAGGAACGGCGTGGCTGCAGGGTGATTGGCTGCGACCATCCGAGCCTATCCTGAATCAGCAAAGTTAATTAAAAATACAATTTTAGTGAGCTGCAAGTTATCGATGTCTATAAAACAGTTTTATTGTACTATAAGTCTATATAAGTTCTTGTCTAAATTTGCACTATTACGTATACTCTGAGGTTGTCATGAACGTTTTCTCAATAGTATAAACTCATACAGTCATAAATGACGAGATGTGGAATGGGTAAAAGAACTCCAAACGCGATATTTTGGGTAGCTCCGGCGAAAGGTTTCTTGCATGTATTTGTGTAGTGGATTATTTTCGTCTGACTGTGACGTTCTTAGGCTGTCACGAATCAACGGTGGTATACATTTCGACAGAGTCACGGCACCTTTACGTGTAGTGCCAATATTTTTCAAAGAAAGAGTGCGGCGATGTCAAAGTCGCTGCAGTTGGTTGTTTGAGACCGCGCCAGAAATTATTCCAACACTTGGCGAGGAAAAAAACACACACACACACACAAAAAAAAAGATGCTTGAATCGTGGGTTAGGGAAATAATCTTCTCGTGAAAAGGACCGAGAATCTGTGATTATCGTGGCTTAAAGTCTGGTTGCTGGTGTTTTTATTGGGCGATACTGCATGCTAGCTAGAAAAGAGAAAAAAAAGGTGCCGTACGTAATACTGTAGGTAGCTGGCCAAGGGTATGATAAGCCAGAAGGGGCATTCCTACTTGCCTGCCATACCATGGGCTAGAATTATTCAGATTTCATTGCCTAGATTTACAGCTAATAAAACAAAATTCACATTTTGGAATATCTTTGAGTAATCTCCACTGGCTTATCTTAACTCAGAGACTTACACTTAATCAGTTTGCGTCAACCGCAGAACAATAAAATAAGCTAAACCAGAACATGCTAAAAGGTGCATTCCTAACGTCGCAAGACATACTTGTGAGTGAACGTTCCCACAGGACTCGAAGCACCGATCACCACGATCGATAGAGACGGCTGGGCGAATTCCATGGTAAACAAAACCATTCGGACTTTACAAAACAAACAAACAAACAAACAAACAAACAAACAAACAAACAAACAAACAAAAACAAACAAACAAACAAACAGCACGTTATGTGGCAAAGAACGTGCCAAAACACGTGAAATGTCATACAATGTTACTACGCACATTTTGTTGTGTTGCTATGGGCTGTATGCCATGAAGCAAAAAAAAAAAAAAAACACACACACACACACACACACAAAAAGTGAATCTTTGCTCGGCGCCGTTCGCTTTGTGCGGGGTGTGAGAACAGGGGCTATTGCGCTCTGCGAGATCGAACGTGCCGCCGGGCGAATTTCATAGGTTGTTCGCTGCATATATTTGCTCCATGGAGTCCAGGCTTTAAAACGTTTTCACCGCCTTCGTTTTGTATTCGAAGAGATTGAACCTCCAACTGCTTTACAATAAAAAAAAAAAAAAAAAAAAAAACGCACAGGTGAGAAACATTTTTCTTAAATGATTTTGTTTGCTGTGCACGAGGGTGGCCAATTGTAATGTTGCTGAAGTTCTTAACCAATGAGCTTTGAATGAAAACGTCTCGTTGTCACGAAAATGCAAACGCTCGATTTACATTCTAGAGACACCCCTTACAAAATTTTATATCTGCCAGATCTGAAGATTTCAGAAATGGCCATACCAAAAATTTGCCACATATAACCTGATATGGTATATCTGCCAGATATAGCCTTATAATGCCAAATATAGCCCGATTTCCCTGGCCAGATATGGAAATCCCAGATCTGGCTAAGGAAATTCCAGATCTAGCCAGGCATTTCAAAGGGACACAAGCCTGAAATCAGCACTTTATATCTTTTTATTGTCTACAATTCTCCCAAGTACCCTGCCTGCACTCGAGGAGTTATGGAAACGGTGATCCTTCAGCTGTTCAGAAAATTTTATTCCACAAAAATGCACGCTCGCTGCACGCAACAAACATATTCAACGGTCTCGCGGGGGACTGGTCTGTAGTATCAACTAGAGTTTAAGGCCCATTAAAGAGTAAAAAGTTGATCATGACGCGACCCCTCACCACACAAAGGTAGCGGCACGACCACCGGCGGAGGAACTCTTGTTCGCCAAGGGAGAACCGCTGGTCGTCCAGGTAGGCGGTGAGTTATTTTCGGATGTCCCACAACAGCGGCCACAACGCGCGGCGTCGTTGTCGCTGGGCCGTCGCGACACAACGGTTTCGCCACAGCACCCACTCACATATTGCCACTAGTAGCAGCGCAAAGGCGCCCCTCGGGCAACGGCCTTGTGTGACGTATACGTCCACCCCGAGACCTCGAAACGAGCGCTGTATTATGCGCCGTAGGTCCCTCGCCGGTACACACTCTCTCACAACGTGCGCGTTTGTTTCTATTGCACCACAATTGACGCACTGTGCGTCCCGTACCACTCCCCAGCGGAAAAAGCCTGTCTTTTGTTGGGAGGGCACCCCAACCCTTTAACCATTCAAAGTCGCGCACGTGGTCCGGCAGCGTGGACGACGTCAGTGCCAGCCACGGGTACGGCTGCACCGTGCCCGGCGGCGGGGGTTGGTCTGCCACCACTAGGCGTTCAGCAAGCCTAGACGCCGGGGCCTCGAGTATCTCCTCTCGTGACACGTGGACGCTGAGCTTGTCGAAGAGATCCGCGGTAGACCTGTAAAATGCAGGGGTCGTCTCCGCTCGGGGCCGAAGAGGGCTCGGAAGAGAGTCTCCCAAAAGACGGTTATTGGCGCCGAGGAAGTAGAGCGTGAGTGGCCGTGCTGGGTTGTCGTGGTCGTCAAGGATTGCCAGGGTTGTCTTCAGGGCCAGTATGGGCGCTGCCAGCTCGATGCACGGAAAGCTCTACCCTCCTTCACAGCGGGGGAGGCATAAGCGGGAGCGCCTCACGAGCTCTGTGCGGTTGTTCCAGAAGAAGGTAAAAAACGCCGAGCGCACTTAGAGGATGAAGGGGCGCGGCGGGAGGGCTACGCGGGCCACATGCCACAACCTTCCGCAGAAAACCGTCTGAACAAGGTACCGCCGCACAGCCATGGGGAAGTCGTAATGGCCAGCTTCAGCGGCCTTCTCTATGATCTCTTGACGCAGGTTGGCCCAGGTCTCCGGAGCCACGCCGGAGGCGTCGTACGAGATTCCAAGAATGGTAACGGACTGGGCTCGCGGCAGAGATGGCGGGCACCTGGGGGGAGCCCCGATACAGAAAGATTTGCTTTTTTCAGGGTTCAACCGTGCGCCGGAGAGGCACGCGTACTCGTCGAAGAGTCGGAGGGCCTTCACCAGGCTGTCTTCGTCGCGCAGGTAGAGGGTCACGTCGTCCGCATACGCCGAGACAGGAAGCTCACCGGACCCAGGTAGAGCAAGTCCGCTTATGCTGGGGTGCCTGTCGACTCCAACCAGGAAGGGCTCTATGCTGAGGACGAAAAGTACCGGGGACAGCGGGCACCCCTGCCGAACTCCTCGCGTTACCGGAAAGCGTGCCACTAAGGAGCCATTCAGGAACAAGTCACTCCGCAAGTCACTGTACAATGCTGCGAACAGCTGAGCACTCTAGGAGAAGAAGCCAAACCCGTCGAGAACACCGAGCAGGTATTGGTGCTCGACGCGGTCGAACGCCTTGTCTTGGTCCAACGACACGAGAAGCCCGTTCGCCCGTCGGGAGCGTGTGAACTCCAGGATGTCGCAAGTGAGAGTCGTCAAAGTATGTATGCTGCGGCCCGACACCGAGCACGTCTGTCGGGGGTTTACCAGCTCCTGTAGGAAAGTTTGCAGACGCGAGGCTAGGGTCGCCGCGAGGAGCTTGTAGTCACTGTTTAACAACGTTATCGGGCGCCATGCCCCGGGGTCGGCATGGTCACCACCCTCCTTGGGGATGAGTACGATCCGTCCCAGCCGAAAGGATGGCGCTAGGAGGAGGTCTTCAAAGCAGACCCGCACGACAGCGGTAAAGAAGTTACCGAGAATGTGCCAGAACGTGCGGTAGAACTCCGCTGGGAGACCGTCCGGTCCTGGTGCGGAGCCGTTCTTCATCCGCTTCAAAACGTTCCACAGCTCGGTCGCGGACGGGGGCCGCCGCAGGCCCGCGTCATCCTCGGCGGAGATCTTGGGGAGGCTGCTGAGGAGAGGGTGCGAGGACACCGAATAGCGATCAACCGACGTGTCCGACTGGGCCAGCGATCGGAAGTGGGCTGCGAAGCGACCATTGTCAAGGTGGCCGGGCGACCCCGATGCGGAGGGCGTCTGCTGTCTTTCAAAGGCTCGTAGGCTTATGCGATGGGTGTAGCGCAGTACCTCCGGGTGGACCGACGGGCTCCCCTGAGCCTGCAAGACAGTAGCCGCGGTGGGGTCCCACCGAAGGTATCGTTCGTAGCGTCTCTGCAGCGGTCGAGGTACGCCCTCATGAAGGGGGTCAAGGCGCCCCCTCGGCGGACGATACGGATTCGGAGGATAGTGTCTTGTAGAAGCCCTCGATGCCGTTCGCGGAGGTGCCATCCCATCAGAGTGCTGAAGCTTTGCCATTAACCTTTTAGGCGGTCCCAAGACGCCGGCTCTGGGCGCACTCTCACTAGCGACTCCTTGACCAGGTTGCCTAGCGTGCGGCGCGTGGTCTCATCGTGGAGGATCCTGGAATCCAGACGCCACGGACGTAAGGAGCGTGCGACGGGAGAGTCGAAGCAGAACTTGATAAGTAGCGGACGGTGATCGGAAATCTCTTCTGGGCACGACGGGAAGTCCACCGCAATACAGGTCTATAGCGCGGCAGATAGCGTGCGAGGCAAGTACAGCTGGTCTATGCGACTTCCCGAAGCCCCTCTGTTCCACGTCGACTGGTGGGTGGATCCATGCAGTAGGGACCATCCGTCTACGAGGTCGAAGTGCCTCACAAGCCGCCGAAGTTCACGGGCGGACCAGGTTGAGCGACCCTGACCAGGACCCCGAACGCCGACGTTAGAGTCCAGAACGCAATTGAAGTCGCCGACCAAAAAGCACGGGCCCGCGTCGAGTAGGTGCACGTCCAGGCTGCGGAAGTACTCGTGCTGGAAGGTCGATACAGTTGGTGTGTAGACAGTGACGAGGCGAAATTCTCGTTCACCGAAGAAAAAGTCCAAACGAAGAGTTCTTCCCTCCGTATCAAAAAGATAAGTGGCATTGCGCAGCAGACTGCGATTGCAGACAACCACGCCCACGCCCGTCGCGCGGCGCGGCGCGTAAGAAAAAAAAGCAGTCACAGAAAACCGGAATTCGAAATCCGCAACGTCACGGAAGCGGGCAAAGTTGGTGTCTTGCAAGCACAGAAGATCGCAGTTCTGCATCCTCGCGAAATGCGTCACTTCAGTTTGCTTCGCTGGGTTTCGAAAGCCCCGCACATTCAGGGATAATATGCGAAGTGTGGCCAGTATAAAGAAAAAAGGGGGATAGGGACGCCGGCGTGTTGCTTAAAACGTGGAGCTGTCGGACGATGCTGGAGAGGGGTCCCGACGCGGGGGGGAGGACTTTTGCGGTTTCTTGGGGCACTTGGCTCGTGGGCCCCCACTGTCAGTTGAGCGGGAACCGCTGCTACCGAGGGGACGCTTGGAGTCCTCGTGCGTTAGTCGGTTCGAGTCGGACTCCGGTGTTTCAGTTGTGGTCGTATCCATACTGTCGGTCGGTGTCTCTGCGGGGCCACCTGGAGCGGGGTTCTCGTCGATGACGAGGTGGTCGCTGTCGCTGGACACCTCGCCATCACCCAACGCTTGGCTCCACGCTGCATAGGCGGTGTCGCCGACAATAACCGCGGCGGTTCGGGCAGAGTCCGTCGCTTCGGCTGAAGTCCCCCCCGAGCCGGTCGGGCTTGGCTCAGGTGAGGCGGGTGGGGGCGGCGACGGAAGAGGCGGTGGTGCGGCCGCGGCTGCGGCGTCAGGTGGTGACGGAGGGGCGACGGTGGAGACGGTTGGTACGGCCGGAGCTTCGGGGGCGATGGGACGGGTCGCGTTTCCTGGGTCCAGGGCCGGGAAATCGGTGGCGTGGTTTCCGGTGACCATGGAGGAGTAGCTTCTCTTGGCCGTGCAGTCCACAGTCGCGTGGGTTCCACCGCAGCGTCCACAGTTGGCAGTGCAGCCCTCGGTTGGGTGCCCGAAGACACCGCAGCGGTCGCAGTAGCCCGTCGTACACTGTGCCCGGACGTGGCCCTCCTGCCTGCAGCGTCGGCATACGCGCTTCAGGCCGCGGTAGTCAAAAGTAGCACGATGTCCGGCGACGCGCAGGAAGTTGGGCAGGGGGTTAGCCTCCTTCATCTCCATGCGGATGAAGCGGGTTCCTGTTTTCACAGTCGCCGTTCGGTGGTAGGTTGCGTAGGAGACGTCGATGACTTTGCCGTACGGGGCCAGGGCTTGGACGAGCTGGTCGTTGCGTACAAACGTCGGCAGGAAGAGGCAAGTCACATTCGTCATTTGCGGACCCGTCGGCACGATGGGGACTGACTGGTTGGCGATGGAGACGCTGCCGGCCTCACGAAGCTTGAGGGCGGCTGCACGGGTGTTGACGACGACTTGGAAGTTTGTACCTCCTAGGTGCTGCGCCGAGAAAATTTCGGGCAGCCCCACAATGGCGGATATCCCATCAATGAGATCGTCCGCCGATGTGCCTACTGGCACTACAATGTCGAAAGCGTGCGCTTTCGGCGGGGGAGAAGATTCCGTCGACGCGGCCGCCATGGCGGTTCGCACCCTCGCCGGGGCGCTCGACGACACGTAGCCAGGGACCGCAGAACGCAGGCCCCGGACGAGATGCAGCCAGGAAACCAGGAACTCAGGAACAGCGACGAGATGTTTCAGCTCCCTAGTGATCGCTACTTTTCGACCAGCTCCATGGTTACACAGTTTCGGGTGTAATTTGTAGTCACCCTGAACAAGCGTCCCATAGGGCTCAAGTACCTCTCATATCACTTTTAAATTTTCTCGTCAATGGCAGCGTTTATGATGCTGTGCATCCTGCTCAACCTTCAACCAAGCTGAGCCGCCGAAATCTCTTACCATATTATCATTCTCGTGATTGTTGTTTTAGCAGGAATTACTTAATAGCCGAGAAATCACAACAACCAAAACCGGGATTTAGCTCGGATTCAGCGCAGCTGTTTATGACATTTTTAGCGTTGCTATCTTAATATCAGCGTCTTTGAAGCTGTACGAGAATGATAACAATGTAAGAGATATGTCTGCAGCTTATCCAGGTTGAAGGTTGGACATAATGCCCAGTACTGACATTGGCGGGACATTTTAAAAGTGGTATGGCAGGTATTTGGGTTCTGTACGGCACGTGTTCAGGGTGACTCCGAATTACACTCAAATCTGTGTAACCATAGAATTGCTCGAAATTTTCGATCACTAGGCAGCTGAAGAAACACCGTCCCCATGGTTGCTCGAGTACGGGCCGAGGCGATTGGGGGATTTAGCGAATTGTCTGTTCGGGCTTAATGTTAACACTTTGAAATAATTAAGCTACATTGAAATCCTCGTGAAAACTAGCACAAATAATCTCAAACTTAAAGGAGCTGTGCAGCGATATTCAATTGGAATGTTTTTCTCTCTACACGAGCTTACTGGCCCATCTGGGACTCAAGGATACTCACACGCAACGCCATTGGCCAAGAGACTCCTTTGTTGCGGTGTAATTTCAAGGACAAAAGCGATCATTTTTATTCAATTTCTCTTTTGCAAAATTTGATGACGTAACTCGGGGATCGCAGTACACCCAAGTGACGATATTTGAATGCGGTTCATAGATTGGACCCGAGCATTGCGTGGGCACTCGACTTGGGCTCGTGACAATTGCTAGCTCGAGAAGCATTCGGGTTGTGACCCGTGTCCAATCGCTGCAACGACGACAACAGCCGAGCCATAACAATGTCTGGAACTCAGCGCGTGTCCTGCGCTTTGCCAAACCCAGCGCATGACTATGATCAACACTGGCGGCTTATAATCGGCTCCAGATCACGTGGCCGCTTGTTCTGGCTGCGAGTTGAGGGAATGAACGCTGCTCGTTGTTCTTAATTTTTTTTTTCTGGGACTTCTATTGCGGGGTGTGAAAAACGAACGCGTGTTTCCTAGGTCATTAACGTTAGGGATCCGTTTTAAGCGGTATTTGTGCACAGTACAAAAATTGTTGCATCGCTCCTTTAAGCTTGTCAAAGCTGAAGTTTGGGATTATTTGTGCTAATATTTAGCTCGAGAACAATGAGTCATTCAGAGTTTGCTAACGGAGAGTTTTTTTAAAACTTCTTTTAACCTTTTAATATATTAAAAACCGGCCGCCAGATAAGTCTGTATATACGCCATATCTGGCTGTATATATGCCAGATAAGTCTGTGTATACGCCAGATAAGTCTTTACATACGCCATATCAGGTTGTATATACGCCAGATAAGTCTGTATATACGCCAGATAAGCCTGTATATACGCCAGATAAGGCTGTATATAGGCGGTATATAATCATACAATGTTTGATATGGCCAGATCTTGCCCAGATATAAGATTCCCATATGGGTACAGGCCACAGCATATATTGCTCAAGGTTTCGAAGAACGTTCTAAGGCCGGTTGCTCTTGCGCACTAAAATGAAGTAAATAAAAACAATCAAATTATGCACTCATTTATTAGAAAAAATACAAGCATATAAACGACTTAGTGTCGATGCATGGATTTTTAGCACTTAGTTTACAGCTTATTAAGCGCTAAATATACCTTAAGCGTTAACTATAAAAACGAAATCTAATTAGAAGCACTAAAAGCGTTCTATAGTCGTAACATCCTCCGAGAAGTAGAGAGTTGACGACTTGGTGCATAACTACGCTAATTGAAACAATAGGGCGTTTTAGAATAGCGCACGCTAAAGCTTTGCGTACGCAAAGAATAGCGTCGTCGCCAGTGCGCATGCTTCGAACGCAAACCAGGTTTTGCGCTTTGCGTGCGCAATTTTAGCATGCGCTATTTCTTGGAAATAGCGTGCGTACGCAAAGAGTCTTTGCGCTTCTTCAAGGAGGATTCGTGATGAGA